GGAAACTTTTGGGCGGGCAAAATGTTGGGACTAACTATGTATATGAAATATTTGGAAAAGCAATTTTAGAATGGATCACCTTTGAAATATTATTTATATGAAATACGATTGGAGTGGTTTATTGATTTAATAACATAAAATTTAATTTAGAAAATAAGATTTAGGTAGAAATAGTACAATTAGACCCGTCTAATAACTCTAATCTTGTGTTGTCACCTTGTCACTCTAGCTGCTACAATTTCACCACTCTCTAAAACACACCATAATATTAACAAGAAGTTGATTCTCTTAAAGAAATAATCCCAGTCAAGTTAGTCGGATAATTGACTTGATAACCACAAGATTTCAAGTTCAACTCTATTGAGAGTTGTCTATTGTCTTTATTGGTTTGTGTCGATCAGCCATGGGCAACCTATATTGGTTTTACATCCTTATGATCCTTTGTCGACTAGGGTCACAAAGCGAGCTTCACCCAATGCATACATTTGAATAACAACTGCAAACTTTTTTCATAAATTGAAAAAATTATACTTAATTTCAATAAACAACAATTGTTTTTTAACATTTTCACACCTCAAACACACAATCTTCCTCGACTATACTACAAATAGTAAAGTAGTATAATTAAGAGAAAGGGAAAACATAAAAACAAAATTATGAAGAGAGATGTTAGGTATGATATTCTTCACAATAAGACAATTAGAAAGAATCAATGCTCTTCAACAACTTCATTTTGATTTTGGTTCCCAATTACTGAAATTGAACAAATACACCTTTAAAAGTGAAACAATAGTACCAACTTTTTATAGATAGTAATGCTCTATTTTGGTAGTCAATAAAAACAATAGCAACCATATGTGAAAATGTGAATTTCTGCTTAATAATTGATTCACCAAAAGGTCAAAAAGTATAATTAATTGTAACTTAATTTGATTTTGAAAAAAGACCAATTTTTAATTGTATAGTTATTGGAGATTTGATATTGATTTGAGATTTTCGAAGAAGTTTGTTGGTTATGTAACATTAAGATAAAAGATTGAAGTGAATTACCACTTTAATCTTGACAATGTCGCGTTTAGTAACAGTTTTGTTATATATAACTTTGACATTAAGTTAGTGATGAAAAACACAACATCTCAAATAGCTTAAGTATTAAAGTCAAGTATATCAAATAATTATTAGGGACCAAAATAAAAGTACTTCAAAATTTAAAATTTCATATTGATTTGTCAATATTATAAAATCTCTACCTGAAAAATTATGGGGAGAGCGACGACTGTATTACTATAATTCAAAGAGTCAAAATCCATTTTTGCAATAATTAAAAATCAAAATAACAATTAACTAATAACTTAAAAATCAAAATTATCTTTTTCCCTCGTGTGGATGGAACATAAATTTTGTACCTAAAAGTCACAAGTTTGATTCTTGTCAACACTCTCTCGGTTGAGTTTGTTGCACAAGATCTCCATTACATTCCTAGTGCAGTTTACCTCTTTTGTGTTTAAATAGCGACTGTTGCTTTCACTAGTCATCCAAAAAAATTAAACTATGTTTTTGCCTTTAATATTTTACCTCTCTCTATTACTTATTAAATGATTTAATGAAAGTCGCCATTAATGAGGATATTTATAGAAGGTGTGCAAACTTAAATCAAACTAAAATCTTATTACATAATGTATGTATTATTTTATTTTATTTTAGCGACGAGGGAAATTCGTAACCATTATTCTTAATGGTGTATATTGAGTAAAGTCGTCTTATGATATTAGCGGCAAAACCTAGTTTGTTCATATCTAAGTTCAAATAAAAAATGCCAATAGCTAGGTCGCTCCCACTAAGATAGTGTTTAGCAATTAGCTATTAGCTGATAATTGAAAGTTGATTGTGTTAGCCAGTTTGACCACCTGATAGTATTAAAAATTATTTGGTAAATTAAGTATTTACTCTTAGCTTATTACACGTAAAATGACCTATAAGGACATAAATATATTATGTAATATTTACATAATTCTTAAAGTACTTTTATAATATATCTTAGGCAAAAACTTGTGTGAGACCGTCTCACCGTGAGACCGGTCGGATCAGGCCAAGATGAAAATGTAATACTTATAGCACAAATGTAATACTAATCAAGAATAACATTTTTGTTACTTATAAGGGTAAATGTAATACTTTTAGGGTGTGTTTGAAAACCCGAAAAATGATTTCTGGAAATCATTTTCCGGATTTTAAATGTTTGGAAAGAAGGAAAATTTAAAGTCAACTAAAAATGAGGCATTGGTCAATAGAAAATGGGTTTGTTTTTCTGGGAAACAACTTCCCCTTTTCTAAGGGGAAGTCATTTTCCGGATGTTGACTTCTTCATTTTCTTCACTTTCCCGTTGGTTTCATCTTCATATTCTGACTTCAGAAACAAGTGCTCACTAGTTTCCGGCATCCTGCCGAAAACCAGTAAGCACTGATTTCCTTTAAAGCTTTGGTTTCCGGCGGAAATTTGGTTTCCACGGGAAGCCAAAGGTTTTTTTTTTTTTTTTTTTTTTGTAATTTTTTTAATAAAAATTCGGTATTGAATTTATTTTTTTTTTTTGTAATTTTTTAAATATTGCTTTTTTTTAATATTATAGAATTATATTAGAAATTATTTTAGTATTATTATTATAAATATTTTTATATTCTAAATAAAATAATTAAAATATTTATTTATATAATTTTACTCATTTTTCAGAAAATGAACCAAACACACCAATGCACTTTTCCAGAATGCAACCAAACACCGGAAAGGAGAATGTTTTCCGAAAAAATAATTTATTTTCCAGAAAACATTTTTCAAAAGTCATTTTCCTGCTTTTCAAACGGATCCTTAAGGAAAAATGCAACACTTTTACATTTCGATTTAAGAGTATTACATTTTTCTTCAAAAGTATTATATTTTCCCTTATAAGTAAGGGCCACTTGCCAACATTACTTATTATGGAAAATGTAATACTTTTACATCGAAATGCAAAAGTATTACATTTTCTCTTATAAGTAACAAAAATTTTATTCCTGATTAGTGTTACATTTGCGCATATAAATATGACATTTGTGCATGTATGTATGACATTTGCATGTTGATTCGACCCAACCCGTCTCACGAATAAGGATCTGTGAGATGGTCTCACACAAGTGTGACCCTATATCTTATCGTTGTGTTATAATTTCAAATGAAAATAGAATAAGCATAATAACGGTTAGTACAATTATATATATGTGTGTGTTAGGTCAAGAGTCAATTTAAATGTCGGGCTCCAAACGGTTCTTATAATATTAAAATAAAAATGTAAATTAAAATTAAAATATAATAAATATAAACAATACAATAACGTAACCAACAATTATTAAGAGTAAATTAGACTTTTAAAACGAAAATGCAAGCTGATATCAATAAGTAATTTTTTTCATTTTCAATTTATTGACATCAATCAGAGTTATTATACTAAACACTTATATTAGATGTTTAATTAACCAAACAATTAAAATTAGTTAAACAAGTTAGACATTGACTAATAAGTCATTTTCAATACACAAAATTTGACTTCATAAGGTACAAATTCATATTCATAATACACATACACATAAACACAATATAATAAACATGAATTATATGCATTATGAACATGAATTATGTGTATTATGTTAAGTGTTTATGTATCCTCAGTTATATAATACATAGAATTCATGTTCATAATGCACATAATTCATGTTCATTATATCATATTTATGTTTATGTGTATTATAAACATAAATTCTGTGTATTATGAACATGAATTCTGTGTATTGGACGAGAGTTTACAGTACACTGTGGATCCTAGTCCACAATATAAGAATTGCAATATACGTGTCCGAAATCATTATGATATTGGAAAACGGAAACAAAATAAATAAAATTATAACCCTTATTTATTTATTTACAGGAATGGATACCCCAGGATGCATGGATCTAGCTTGCCATTTGGCGCCATGTTGGGACTCCAATTAGATCGTCTAAAACATCCATAGCTTCTTCAGGTGGTTGGCTGAGGAGTTGCATTCCTTGTGGTTTCTTTGTAGCCAGTGTTGCTAGTACGTCAGCGACTGAAAATTATAACCCTTTTTATAAATGAGAATATATTGCATTAAATATAATAAAAATATAAAAATAAGTGTAGCGTTTCTTGGTGGTTTAGATAGATCAGTGTTGTAAAAATCGCGTCTAGACGGTAGGCGCCGCCCGATTGCGGTGAAGAAGGCCGGAATCGGCCTCCTTCGCAGCCGCCTAGACTGCCTAATCAGTTGAACCGTTCGATTTTTTTTTTCTTGTTAGGGTTGTTGAAAAGTGTAAAAAATTTTGACAATGCATAACTTTTGACTCGGTTATCCGTGTTGGACAATTTTTTTTTTTAAATCGCATATTTTTTCGAGATCTATCCTATTTCTAAAAAAATGTTTCTTTTGCTCTTAATTTTAATTTTTTTTTATGTATTTAGATGGTTTCAACAATATTTTGAACAATTTTACAACCACTTATGTAAATAGTTTGTAAGAAAAAATTGGATGAACCTTATGTTTTATTAGTGAATTTTTATAATTTTTAGCTTAATTTTTTTTAAATTACAAAATAAATAAATAAAAATAAAAAATTGAATGCCTATGCGTCCTCTCAGCGTCTAGAGTGCGCCTAACATATTTTGCAACCTTGAGACAGATACACAAAAAGAGTAGAATTGATTGGAGCAATTTCCAATGGAAAAAAGAAAAAGGTAAAATAATGAGATGAAGATGCAAATGATTAAGCAACAAATTACATAAATAAAGCTAGCTTAATTAACACCTAATCTATAATTAGGTGTTAATTATCCCTCTTCTCTCTCCGCTATTTCTTCTCTTTACTTGACACCCCCCACCCTCGCTTCCACGCCCCCCTCCCCTCCCCTCTTCTCTTCTCTTTCTCTTTCTCTTTCTCTTTCTCTCTCATATTTGGCTTTTTTTTTTCTTTTTTTTAAAAAAAAAAAAAAATTCCATAATCAGCTGAGACTTCAACCTTTTGCTCTCTCTCTCTCTCTCTCAAACTCTAAATATAATAAGTGGATCTTGCTCATCATTTCCCTTCTTCACGACCACAATAGGGTTTGAGTTTCGATTTTAATTTTTTTTTTTTTTTTGGTTTTTTTCTTTTTGGTTTTGGGAAGCTGGAAATTTGATGTTCGCATTTCAGTTCTGTGCTGTAAATGTTGTTTTGGGATTCTGAGCTTCAGTTTCGCGATCTTCATGATTGGTGTGGAGCTATTGTGTTATGTATAGGCGTGTAGATTGTTATGAATTTAGGGTTTGGAGTTTTGGCTTGAAGGGTGTCATTTTCTCCATTCCTTTTTTTTTTTATTTTATTTTGGTGGGGATTAGCTTGTCTGGGCCTCTTTGGTTCAATTGAATTGGATTTTTGTGAGTTTTTAAAGGACTGATCTTAGTAGTTACTTGCTCCAAGCAGCTACACCAACACCAAGAACTGCTTTCTTCTTTGCTCAGGTAAATAAATTTGATACTTAATTATTCATCCGTGAATAAATAAATATGGTTTATTAAAGGTAGGGATATTGAGTTCATTTATTGAGACTTTGAAGCTTTGAGATCTATTTGCACCCTTAAATCGCTTATCTTATTGCTATTATTGGTTTGCTTCGATTTGATTTTGTGAATATCTGAATTTGATCTAATTCTAAATTGTTCTGCTACTATTCTGGAATGTTAAGTTTGCATTCGTCTCGTCTGGTGCTATTGGCTTGTGAGCATTTCATTTCTACTTTATATTTTGTTTTCAATTGTGCTTGGTATAGGTTGATGCATGGCTCTGCAAGGACACAAACTTGTTAATTTTGAGCATTGTGATTGGCATTTTTGTGGTTATATTGCATTGGAATTTAGAAGTGTAGTTTTGTGTGTGTGTGTTTTTGTCCTTCTTCTTCAGTCCATGTGATCACAAAAACCTTTCATGTGAATTATGTAGAGTTGAAGGATGACCCAAAAGGTATACAGCTGTTGTGTAAAATTGGTCTCTTGGGCACCTTGTTTTCTTATCACCCAAACCAGTGTGCTTGTCATATGGTGGTTTTAGGCTCAATGATGCGCAAATAGTATCGGTGCTCTAACTTTTTATACATCTGTGTATTTGGTCACTGCTTTCTTTTTTAATATTACTTTGTGGAAAATGTGGTATTTCTTTCAGTTTAGTTTGTGTAAAAGTTTTTCCTTTTTTCATTCCGTTGTTAAGTCAGGAATATTACTTTTCCGCACTGGTAGCTAAACAACAATGAATGCTTAGTGATGATGTTTCCAAGTATGTTTGTTTCTCCAACTTTATTCCATGTAATAGTTTGAGTCGTGTTTGAAGGGGTTTTAGACCATGGATGATGAGTTGTTGCCGCCGTGGATTTTGGGAGCTGTGTTTTCTTTTACTATCACCAATTCTTTTATGGGCAATTTCTCGCTGTATCATGATAATAAATTTAACTTGTCATCTTAAATGAGGTCACTTGTCTTGTAATGGTGTTATGTCTTCCCTCTCTTGGCATATAGGAGCACAGTCTTATTTTTCTTTTGCTGAATTACCTTTGTCATTCTAGATTTCAGTATGAGTATGACCAGTGAAAGTGAGGACAGGATGACTTTTAAAGGCAGTGTAAGCTCCCCATCTATTGAAGAAGCTACTGCTGGAGGAAAAACTGGAGGAAGTGTTCTATTAAAGAAAGGTCCCTGGACATCTGCGGAAGATGCAATTTTAGTGGATTACGTAACAAAACATGGAGAAGGAAATTGGAATGCAGTGCAGAAGCATTCAGGACTTGCTCGCTGTGGTAAAAGTTGTCGTTTGCGGTGGGCAAATCACCTCAGACCAGATTTAAAGAAAGGCTCATTCACTCCCGAGGAGGAGGGCCGTATCATTGAACTCCATGCTAAAATGGGAAACAAATGGGCACGGATGGCTGCTGAGGTGTGTATCATCTGATCATCTCTCTATCCAATAGTGCTTATACACATTTCTGCCTACAGTTGTAGCTCTGTCCAGGTCTAAGTCTGAAATCTATCCATAAACATAATGGTTTCTTCAATCTAAAAATATACGATTCTCTTGAAATTTGGGAAGAATTATTATTGAAGATTATTTAGTGAATAGGAGTATAGAAAATTAACCATCTTCCCCTGATTTAGAGTTTAGACTATGTTGTCGGTATACATTTTAATGAAATTGTTTAAAAAAGTGCATGTAATATTGTAATGGTGGCATGTGGTAATCCAATCATCAGTACCCTCAAATCAACTGGAACTGAAAGGAAAAGAAAAAGGATTTCAAAAATTGTTTTCTTATAGTCTTTTACATTAACCTATTATGTTGCATACCCAAGATAGATTGAGTGTGATATCTGTACTTGCTTCTAGATTAAATGGGAAGAATTTGGTCTGATTGGAAATGGCAATGTGATTTGCCTGCTTATGGTAACACCATCACAGTTTTCACTTATCTATTTGTTACAATGTTTGCTCATAGAGTTTGCATGTGTGATCCGGCTTAATTGCTTCCTCAGTGAACTACCCCTGTTATACAGTTGTGAAATATGATATAAAAGTATTGAAGCTGATAATGAATGTGAGATTTAACATGTACTCAAGGAAGCCTTCGTTATTCTTCTATTTCGTGTTAGTGCTTTTTTAAAAACTAGATTATCATCTTTTGGATGAAACGTAGGCTAGAATGAGGACAAGATGCTATGTATTTTCTAAGTGAACTTGCAAATGAAATCCTTTGTTGGTTTAGTATTACTCACTCAGTTTTGTCATTTTCCCTCTTCCCTTAAGCTCCCTGGCCGTACTGATAATGAGATAAAGAACTATTGGAACACCAGAATCAAGAGAAGACAACGTGCTGGCTTGCCCATTTACCCCCCAGATCTGTGTTTGAAATCCATAAATGCGAGCAAACAAAATGGAGATATGAACATATTTTCAATTGGGGACATGCAGCATCCTGATCTTTTCCAAATTAACTGTTTTGAGATCCCAGCTGTTGAATTCAAGAATTTGGAACTAAATCAGCATTCATATCCTCCACCTGCACTTGTTGATATTCCTGCTAGTAGCTTGCTTGATATTCCTTCAAGTAGCCTGGTGGGACAAGGTCTTAAATCTTCTTGTGGCAACAGGTATTTCCAGTCCACTGTGCATCCTTCGAAACGTCTGAGAGGAACAGAGACCTTGTTCCCAGGTTTAAGTGACAATGGCAGTGATTTTCTACCAGCATGCAGTCGATTCCAGAGTGGTAATTCTGCTGCTGCATATATTGCTGCTGCTCAATCTTTTGGGGTTTCTTCTGCATACAATCAAAACCTGGCTTCTGATGACCCATCATTATTGAGTGTTATTCCTGGCAGCCATGCCACTTTAAATGGCAACTCCTCCTATTCTTCAGAGCCCTCATGGGAGAAGAAGCCGGAGCTCCCTTCACTCCAAAGTCAGATGGGTAGTTGGTACTCACCATCCTCCTCCCCTCTTCCTTCACTAGAGTCCATTGACACTTTGATTCAGTCACCACCACCAACTGAGCATACTGAATCAGGTAGTCTTTCTCCACGAAACAGTGGCCTGCTGGACGCGGTTCTTTATGAGTCACAGACTTTGAAACATTCAAAGAATAATAATACTTCATCCCAACAGACGACTTCCGATGCTTCCATCATTCGTGGTAGCATAGTGGATAATTCATGCCCAGATCTTCATGACACAGAATGGGAAGCATATGGAGATCCAATCTCACCATATGGCCACTCTTCTGCTTCAGTGTTCAGCGAATACACCCCTGCTGTCAATTTAGACGAGGCACAGACAGTAGTAGCAGGTGAGGATATGATATTTTATTCTCTTAGCTTGCTTGTTGTAGTAGGTTATAATAAGAATGTATATATTGTTTTGAAGGGTGCAAAGTGAAGCAAGAGGAGGAGGGTATGGAGTTGAGCCCTATGCAATGCGGCGATACAGGCAGAGATGATGAAGAATCATTCCAGAACATGTTTTCAAGTTGTTTTGGTTCTCAGAACCATTGTGTACTGAAAGAAGTATTTGGGGCGGTACTTTTGGATGATTTTAGCAGTCGGGACTGCAAGAATATGAGAACCATTTCCATGGCCACCGCCACTTCATCAGGAGGCAGTCCTTGTGCGTGGGATCATGCCATGTCCACTGTCTGAAATTATAATTCAAATTCTTGTTTTCAAGGACCCCTGCCCTTCCTTATAGGACAAATGTGACATACATACATTTTCTTTCACTCTCTCTCTGTGTGGCCTTTTTAGTAGTAGTAGTAGTAGTAGTTGCATTATTGATTCCTTGCAGACTGGAAACAATATCCTCCTATCCTATCCTATCCACTTCTAAAATCCAAATCTAAAACTGAAAAAGCTGTACGACGTCAACATACAAAAATTTGTTGTTTTACAGTTGCTATTTGTTTGTCTGTCTGTCTTTATAAACTTTGCTTTCTTGTACTGTATTGTCATCCAATCCAAGTCAAGTCCCATACATTTCTCATCTAAGAGCTTAAACACCCACTTAAGAACATGAAGAATGTGTGGCATTTCTGCATTTTTTATTACAAGTGGGAGTAATGTGTACAAAATTTTCGTTGAAAGCAAAACCAAAAGCAACCCAGATAGATCTTGGTGAAAGCTCATATGGCTGGCTGGCTGACCTGAGAAGATATGCAATTGATAACCAACCCATTTGGGGTCTCTAACTATCTATCAATTACAACACATCATGTTTCATGAAGACTATGAAACATTTTTCATTCTGTAATGGTCCAAACATTCTTACACTACATTCTACACAACAATCACTTACCTAACTCCTAAAATCCTCAGTCAGGTCCTTTGCCGTACCCTCCTCCCGTCAGTATCACCGCTGTCAGAAAGCTGTGCCCAAACGCTCCGAGACTTCCCCCCTCCGCTGCTACACTCATCCTCGCAACCAGCCACTGTCTTTAGAAGTTCTGACTGGAGAGAAGGGCAGTTTTCTTTCAGGTACTCAAAACCATCCGATTGCATCACAGCTGACACAAATTACCACAAAATTAGTTAGCTGCAAGATAACTACACAGCCAATCACATAATAGTTGAAGTTTATTCATAAACGAATATAGTATTTATGCCTTGGTTACTTATATCCAACATGTTTTTACTGCCTGTTAAATCCTTGTGTTAATGATTAATCTAATGCAATCCTCAGATACAGAACACATAAGAGGGAGGGGGTTAAAAGATGGATTGGTCAGCTGACAATGAATCAAGATATCAAAGAGAAATGCACACGTACATAATGTTTTTTACTAGAATATGAGCTAGATGATAAGCTCTTTGCATGCAAATTCTTGGGGAATTGTGCAAATTTAGAAGAGAGGGAACCCTTTCCCAAGTCTTGGGTTCTACTTGTACACAAGTGTATGAAATGTAGAATAAATGCACTTCCACAATGAGTACTATGGAACTGTGGACGTGCTTTTCCCTTCCTAGAATCTTTTGAATTAAGACCATGTTTCAACTGAGCAGTATTAAACATGGACAGCAATATAATATAATTGACACATACCAGCAAGGTTTTCAGCAGCAAATCTAAGGCAGACAGTTTTGAGCTCCATGGCATGATAACAGTCTGCAAGAGCTAGAGTCTTTGCAACAGAGTTCACAGAAATATCTTTGCAGAGATACGCTTCACACATCCGTTTGAGTCTTCCCAAATCATAGCGATCAGCTGCTTCTAGCAATTTCGCTGGTAATGTATCAGATATAGAAGGTATACTAGAAGAGCTAGAAGCTTCTAGGTCGTCTTCCAAAAGACTATCTGTGTACACAAAGTGCAGCATGGCCTGTTGTATATCACATAAAGTTGTGGCAAAAATCTGAGTAGCGATTCATGGAGAGATAATTATAGCAGGAACATGCACAAATACCACTGCAGTTTATGCAGAAAGAATACTGAATTATAATTTAATTCCCACAAAAAAACAGAAAATAGACCAGTAAAAAGAGTGTCTTCAGAGTTCAGACCTTGAAGACCTTGGATTCCATATTACTTATAACAATTTCCTGCTCATCACTCTCCAGTCCATCAAAGAATTCTGAACGGAAAATGGGAGAACGAGCAGCCAATACCAACTTATGGGCATGAAATTTTTCACCAGCGACATTGAAAATGATATCAGACCCTTCCATATTTTCCAGAAGCATGCCAAAATGTGCTCCAATGTCTGAATCTGGAATATGAATAGAATGCATGCCTGAACAGTCTATTGTAGAACGCACAACTCCAACAGTACAATTAATTTTCAAGCAATCATCCTTAAGATAATCAGAATTTTCAAGCATAACTCGTCTGAAAAAACGTTTGTATCCCCTACATATTTTGACATAGAAACAAGTCAGCAGCAGAGGTAGGGGCAATTGAGGCCAAAGAGGTATCAGAGAAGATAAATGTTCCTTCAATGTTTCATAGATTATACACTAAAGCAATTTCTAACATGTTCCTAGAAATTAGCAGCTCAAATTGTCAGCACCACATTCCTCATAAGGAACCATCTCTATCCCCACCCCCCTAGAGATCAGACATTAATCAAAAGTAAAATAAAAGCTTTATTGAGGTAGAGAAATCAAATTAGCTAAATTGCTAACTTAAGTGCATTACATGCTTGAGAATACACTAAAAACATAACAGAACTAAATAACTATTGGCTAATAAAGTAATCTCATTGTAAAAAAATACACACACACACACACATTACACATACATATATAAAGACAACCAAAACCATGGATCTAAAAACAAATGAATCATTCAGAATTAATCACAAATAGCACCAATAGCATTGTCCCACAAACAACTTATGAAGCTTACCCTGGTCACTTTATATTTGCAGACACAAACACCAATAGCATTGTCCCACAAACAAGTCATGAAGATTACCCTGGTCACTTTATTTTTGCAGACACATATTGCTCTTGAAAGGTACTAGCAACTGGCCAATGTATGAAGCAAAACATGCATGATAATACTTTCCCCATGCTTATAATTTGTCAACATTTTGCAAAATTCAAGCAGGTCACTTTAGCCTTTTCCAGCATCTCATACAAACTCATGAATTTCCATACATTGACATCAAAGTTCAGGCCCCAATTTTATACGAACTGCATGTCAAGAAAACATAATAATGCTGAACCCATTCAATATACGAACTGTCTTATCACTAACATGGCCAGTCATCATGCTCACAAGAAAGAAAGATTCAATAGAATTCACCACCTTTATATGAAAATTATTCTAAATGTATCCTTGTTATTGATGTTGAAAACTGCCTGTAACTATAAATATCAAATTTGGAATGAAAGGTCAATCAAAGAGAGCATAATAGCTTTGTTGATGAAAATTAATTCATCTGCAAAAAATATAAAGGCGAGAAAATGTGCATGGTCAAATAAATGCAAACTATTTACTACTAAAAAGGTACAATCACAAAGGGGGGGTTCTTTAACAGGATCAGCTCAAATGAAATGTTGACAGATTTAAGAGATAATTAGACAAAAAGGCTTCTCTTTATAGTTTATATTAGAGAACTACATTACAAGCATCGCAATCTACAATGCTATGACTTCATAGGAACCTAGAATACATGATATACAGAGCAACTTACAAATTACAATGAAAAATAATTCCCCTCTTGTTGAAATTTGAAAATGTAGCTTTAGTACCAGAGTCATCAGTCATGTACATCTTCAAAATGGTAGCCCTCCATTCCTTAATTTTAGGAAGAACCACTATTCCATCAAATTCCGTCCTGTTCAAATTGAATGACCCTGACATAATCCTTATCCCTTTCCATCCATTACAATGCATCTCCACTACAAAATGATAGTTGAAAAGCTTGATGCATTTATTCTCCACTTCAAGTGCAACCTTAGCATGGCTATTTCAAACCTTAAAGCACAAAAATTGTGCCCACTGAGGGTGTTCATGGAGATCGAATTGTTTCTTATTGTGGCCTCTAAAAAATAGTTTTCAATAGTCAACTCTTTTTCATTTTGAGATTTAAAGGTGAAAAATCATATATGGGGCCATCCGCCACTTTGTCTCATGGCATATATTGCAAGGTATTGATGCATGCCCCTAACCTTTAGGATGGCTCCAATTGTGTAAAGATCATTTAGGTACATCACAAGAGGTAGGCATCGTCTAAGAAAGAAGAGAACCTGGGACTAAAAGGAGTTTATGTGGCTCTAGATAGGAAAAATATTATATTTTTATTAATAATTTAAAAGAATATTAATTACACGTCAAAATATAGGATAATATTATCTTTGCCTTGATGTGTTCAATATAAAACTTCCATAAGTAAAACCAATTTGACTATCCAAGTTGTGATTGTGGTAAAGCTTTTTATTTGGATTGGAGCATCTTTCGAAACAAAGACGTGTGTCTATATCAAGAGAAGTTGGGGCATGCCCCTCTCTATCAAAGGATACTTGTAATTGGAATGAAAACTATTTCGTTAGGACTGGGTAAGTTTTCCAATTGATGTTTTACATTCATAATTTGTTCTACTGTAGCCTATGATGCCATACCAGGTTCCATCAGTGCCTTTTCCCATACTTCACTTCCAATCCAAACCAATTTTGGAAAACCTGAATGGGGCAGGTGAGATAGACAGCAATGTGACTATACCACTTTGCCATCAGCACCTTCACCACATCATAAACACTGTTCATATTTGGTAATATCCATAGCTCTTTAGGCATTCTTTCCCTCTTTTGGACAAAAGACAAATCATAATGCTTGACAAGCATTTTATAGCACATAATATATCTCTTTAAACCCCCTCAACCCATATACACAATATCACCCAAAATCCTCCTATTTTTACTGTATGTAGTGTTTGATTCAGTTATGGTCAAGGTTGCTTAAATATCCACCTATAACATTCAACTTGCTAACTACTTGATCACTGAAAAACAGAAAATCATCTAAACATCACAGCTACAGTTTAAATGCAATACTGGAATAATTTGTACATAAATAAAATTCCTTAACAATGGATATTAGTCTCTGATGCACTACAATTAATTCTTGTCAACATGTTAGTGCTGAGGGTTCAAGAAATGCTACTCACATAAATATAATTCATCAAATATTGGACATTAAGAAAGCATTTGAATCATAGTTCATTAGCTGACTGCTATATTTCAAGTGGGGCATCTGAATGTGGTGTGAGAAATAATTTAGTAGACTAAAGAAGGATGATGACCTAATTTCAGTTCAAAAAACCACCAATCTCCTACCATGAAATTTAGTACAATTATGATCAATGTCCCATTAATTTACTTGAACAGATATCTCAATGAGCCTATAGAAAAAACAACATATATAGCCACAATAACTTCAAAACATCTAATTTTGAAATGTCAACAAAATAGCTCACTAAATTTCGCTCAAAAAATAAAAATAAAAAATAAAATGAATTTAAAGGAAATTACCACATGCTGCCGCGGTATTTCAAAGTGTAGGGGCCACTCTCAAGGGAACGATCGAAGTGGCTGTGAATCTTGTGCTTGTCCTTTCCACTCTGATCAACCAGAGTCAACTCGAACAAAGCCCTAACGTCTGTCCCTTCACTCGCCAAAGCGATGAAAACGGAAACGTACGTCGAATTATCCTCCGGATTTTTTCCGTCGGGGTAAAAGTAGATAGCCCACTGATGACCGCCGACGGTGAAATTGTCACTGGCAATGTGTTTCCCGACGCCCATGCCCTTGGCCAGCGAGTACCCCTGGATCACGAATCGATGAGAGCCGTTAACCGTCTCCGTGACGGAGCGCGAGCTGGTCTGCGGCGCCGGCGCGCCGTTGCCGCTCCTCTCAGCCGTGCCGTGGGTGGTTATTGTTGGTCGCTCCGCCATTGATAAATCTGGACCAGAGCAGCTAGAGTTTGGGAAAGGCGAAAAGCATAGGGTACCCTACCCTAGAGGGAAATAATGGGAAAATTGAGGGTAGAAATGGGGAATTCAATATTCTTGTTTAGGGTTTTGTGAACAGTGAAATGATCGATTGCAGGCGGAGGAGGATTGCGAATGGGCGGGCGGGCGGGCGGGCGGGCAGTGTCGTAACTCGCAAGGTCGGAGAATGACGTGGCCTTATACTTAAGTCCCGTTTAGTTAGTTTTCGGTCAAAATTTATCTACTCCGTACTCCCGTCCGTATTATTAAGCACTTCACTACTAATAGTACTACTATATACCAATTTATTTATTTTTTTTAGAAAATTGTGAGAAAATTACACTTTTGGTCCTATGACTATAGGGGAGGTGGTAATTTCAGTTCGTGACTTTTAAAACTAACAGATTTAGTCCTTTTAGCATGCTTTTTTTTTACACATTAAGTCCTTCCGGCTAATTTGCCGGTAAATTTTCACCGGAATTTCAATTTGATTTGTTTATTATTATTTTTTTTTTTTGGAGGGGGGGGGGGGGGGGTAAAATCGTCCGTTCATCTCCTTGACAAGAATTGAAGAAACTCCAGGGATGTAGTCTACCATTTCATCTCCTTTCTGAACTCCAGGGAAGAAACTCCAGAATTGAAGAGGCCATGTGAATCCCTTGATGAACCTTTGCAAGATCATAGCAATGGCGTGACCCGAATTTCTCATCACCTTCGTGGTCACTGAAGAGTGGCTCGGATTCCTCAGCTCCGATGATGATGCTAAGCCGCCGACGAACCTTCTGTTTGGCGCCATACAAAACGCCATTCCTTCTGAACTGATCCGAGCGAAAGTTTACGTTGATTTCCTGGAAGCCGTGCATACGGAAATGGAAGCTCCCGTCGACCGTCTTCTTGACAGTCTTGCGCGGCCGCCGGCGAGCGTTATTATCTATGACCTGTTTTTGTCCTGGGTGGTGGATATTGGGAGTCGGAGGAATATTCCGGTGGCGTGTTTTTTGCCCCAGTCTCCGACGATGTTCTCTATTGCGTTTCCATTTCCACTTTACTTCCATTATTAATGCCAATGGAATTAGTTATCCATTAACAAACGTGATTGCAGAGAAAGGAGATGAAGTGGTAGACTACATCCCTGAAATTACATTCATAAGTTTGTGACTAAGTTTGAATTGAAATTAGGTGTAAATTCTGGTGTAATCTACAAATATTTGTACAAATTCTTGAATGTGTTGATGAGTCCTTCTGTTAAAATGGTTAGGGCTCTCTGAAGGATTCAAAATAGCATAAAATGGGTTGGTTTCTAAAGAGGTAGATGTTTAGGCGATGAGCAGATGAAATGCTAAGCTTTCTCCGGCGGAGATGTTTGGCAAGGAGGAAGAGAAAGAAGAAGAAATGACTTGGAAATGACCAATTTGTCCTCATAGTTAAATAATAAAAAATGATTTATATTTTTTCGGTGACTTTTGGCCTGTGATTTGGCCGAAAGGACCAAATCTGTTAAAAAAAGCATATTAAAAGGACTAAATTTGTTAGTTTTAAAAGTCACGAACTGAAATTACCACCTCCTCTATAGTCATAGGACCAAAAGTGTAATTTTCTCGAAAATTGTTAAATAGGTGCTCAAACTTTATACAAAAAAGTAATTAATGTTTTAAATTTAAGAAATTATGATTAAACACTTTAATTGTCAAGTAGCTTGTAGCTCAATAGCATTGATAGATACCGAATATCGACACCCGGTTGGATTGCCTAGTCCCGATCAGACTGCCTAAATCGTCCCATAACCCCAAATAAATACCCTCTTTATTACCCAACTCATTACCCATTAATCATCTATTCACTACCCACTTAAATTGCCCATTAAATACCCTCAAATTCCCCTAATTATCTTAAACTTACATAACCTCCAACCCCTTATGACCTCTCAAATGACCGTTAGTCTCACATTTAACATTCATAAATCCATTTATTACATATTCATGAGGGGCTAGCCCTTCTGTTACTTTTCTTCACTATAAAAAGAAGGCAAGGCTGGAGAACAAGGGGGATAGTACTCATCCTCACGCCAGGGGCTTATTTTCTTCATCATGGAAATAAGGCTCTATTCTTCTTTCAACAAAAGCTCCATTTCTATGTACAAAGTAGCCAAACAACATGTACAAACACTTACAAATATATAGTGAATTTGGCCTGTGGTTTTCCTTTCGGTTTCCACATCAAAATCATTGCGGCTATACTTTTTCTACTTAATTTTCCTATTATTTTCCGGTGAATCCACCAACTTTATCCGGTTGTATTGGACCTCCGTGGGCTACCAAAAGTCCTAAAACCAACACTGACGCCGTCGGTTGGGACTTGACAAAAGGTCTTGTTTACTTCTTTGGTTGAGCAATTCGGCAAGACAAGACACTAAGAGTGACGACATCCAAGAAAATGAGAATTTGGATAGGCAAATTTAGTGCATTCTGTCAGGAGTTTTGGTAAGCACAATGACAGTTTAATTAATAGCAATTTGTGTATAGAATTATTAGCTCATCTTCTTATACGCATATATCATGGACATGGTCGAAACATGTTTCTGGAAAAATGTTGCACATGAATATGTGATAAAGGCATGATAGAGAGAAGGCAATTATTAATACGGTGTCCGATTGAGGAACTTGACCAAGAAAGAAGTCAGCCATAGAAATATGATCGGCGGGGAGAGAACGGACGAATAGATGAGTGGCGATGAATAAGCAGCCCTCCGAGTGGCGCTGAATAAGCAGCCCCTGAGTGCGCTGAATAAGCAACCCCTTGAGTGGCGCTGAATAAGCAGTCCCCGGGTGGCGCTGAATAAGCAGCTCACCACGGTTACGAAATTAAAAGTAATGGGTGAGTGGACGATGGACCCTGAATGAGTGGACGAGAGACCCTAAATAAGCGGTCCCCCCACTCTAGTTTGGTGGTTGGCACTGCGGTTGCTGATCCAGTAATCGAGTTTTGCTCCTAAGGTAAAAGGCAATGCGTGATGAAGGACGGAAGATCTCCTCAAACCCGAAAGTATGAATTCGGACTCGGACTCACCTCACTCACTCGGATTTCGTTCTCTCTTCACCGATTCGAAAGCAATTTGTGAGAGAAATGACGTTGCAACATACGTGCATCTACATTATGAGGTCAGACTACGTGCAAGCGTGGGTCCATGGCATTCTTCATTGGAATCCATAACGAACTTGGGCACATTTTTGCATGAAAGGCTTTATATTTAAAGGGGAGAATGTATTTGCATCATATTAAGGCATTTACATTCAGAAATTCTTTGCATTGTGGCATTGTGCGTACAACAATGTTGCAAAAATAGGGCCTACATTTAATTTTTTTTTTTTTTTTTTTTTTTTTGTTAAAAAGTGTAGAAAGTTCGGTAAGGCATAACTTTTGATTCGATTATCTGTTTTGGACAATTTTTTTTTCAAACCGCGTATTTTTTCGAGATCTATAAACTGCCAAAGGCGGTTTGGTCTTGTAATTTCTCTAAAAATGCTTCTTTTGTTCTTAATTTTAATTTTTTATGTATTTAGATGGTTTTAACAATATTCAAAATGATTTTACAACTACTTATGTAAATAATTTGTAAGAAAAAACTAGAGGAACCTTATGTTTTATTAGTGAATTTCACATTTTTTTAATTTTAATTTTTTTTAAATAAAAAAAATTAAAAAATAAATAAATAAATCGGCGCCTAGGTGCCGATGTAACACCCCACTTTTCTTAAACTTAATTACAGTTCTAAAACCAAAATCAAGATAAACTAAGCAGCGGATAAACAAACTTAAATAACGAACTAGTGGGAATGTCACCGCCACAACCACCTCTCCACGGTGATTGCACAAGCTAAGGATGGAACTAAATCGTTAAGTCAAACTAACATTTAAATTACTTAATTTAAAGTCGTCATAAGGGGGAAAAACACCCTGGTGTCTATCACCGAACATACATAGCATAAGTCTACAATCCATCATCAAAACATCATAATAATAAAAAGAGTTTAGACTACTAGATCTACTAAGCTAGTCTAACTCGATCAATTCTCAAACGCTGGGCCCACCTGAAAGGGGTTTTGCAAAACAACAAGTAGACAAGTAGAAAACACCCGTTAGCACAAAGCTAAGTATAATCACACTCAACCCTGTAAAGTACTACAGTATATACTTTAGAAAAACATTTGCTCACATTCTCAACACTTAGACAACTTTAAGATAAACTACAAACTTTCTATATGCTTGCAACCTATAATATCAACAGGCATGATTCAACGATAAATAACTCATCAACATAATCACTCCAACACATATTTCTTATAACAAAACTCATCATCATAACGAACTCATACTATCAAGCAATTGCATACTATCAATCAATACGAAATTATTCTCATGCTTTCAAGTTCTCATCATGCAAACTAGATATATAAGACACCAAAATGCAACTAAAGCAATCATGCTCAATATACAATCTCAGTTAATCATCCTCATTATGCAATCTAGTGCAAACATTCTCATCATGCAATCTCGTGCAACATTCTCATTATGCAATCTCGTGCAATACTATAAGTATACATATACACTCATTTGTAAAATAGAATACTTTTCTGTGGAGGTCTCTTAGAGCCACTAGGACTCGCTTGCTTTCTTTTCTTAGAGTCGCAATGACTCGCTTTCTTTCTTTTATTAGAGTCGCAATGACTCGCTTGCTTTCTTTACTAATGGATGAGGTAGGAACTTCACCGTAGCGTGAACGAACCTATCCCGGTACGGCTTCTAGCCGACCTATGCTCAAGCTCATCCACCGAACCACTCTCTTGGTTCTAAACTCATCTCTGTGGAATCAGGTATCGAACTTTGTTAGGAATAAAGTGTAATGGTTTTGATATGCCAAATATGTATTTGTAGATCCCCCAATTTTATTTCTATACGTCTAGTAGAGTCTTAGACCATGATCGGGAAATTATTTAAATTGGAAAAGAGAAAAACAGAGGAAGATGCATGCAAATAGAAGAAGAAGATATAAAGCCTAAAATCAAGAATTTGTCTGGAGAAAATGACAAATTGAAGAAGAAGATGAATGATACAATATTCACGTCAATGCTACTCAAAGAAATATCCCAGAAGAATTTTCGTGAAAGAA